TTTGCTCAAGGTCGTACAGCCAGGAAGTAGCAGAGCAGGACTCAAATCATCTGATCCCAGACAGTAGGCTCTCTGGTCTTCACAGCACAACCTTCCTCCCTCCTGCCTTGGCAGACCTTAGAACTGGGCTGACATCGACAAATGGGGCCACTGGAAGGCACCAGCCCTGGAACAGAAGCAGTGCTGGAAGGAAGCCCAGTCTGGGAGCCACAGGAGCAAAGCCAGTCGTGGAAGGGAAGGAGCGCCACGGCTCAGGGTGCAACCACACAAACGGGCGGAGTCTCATACCCACGTGGCTGGAAAGTGCGAGGGTGAATGTCAGCTGTCCACTTCACTGGACTGAGGGAGGCCAAGGTGGCTGGCGAAGCATTGTTTCCGGGTGTGTCTCTGGGGGTATTTTCAGAGGGTGTGAACTTGGGAGTCAGTGGACGGGAAGAAGAAGACCCACCCTCAATGGGGGTCTTCCAGTCAGCTGCCAGGATGGCCAGAGGAAAGCAGGCAGAGGAGGGGTATATTCAGCTTACTGAGATTCCTCTCCCCCACCCCATCCCATCTCTCTCTCCTTTCCCACGCGGGATGCTTTGCTTTCTCTCCTCCTGCTCTTGGATATCAGATGCCAGTCCTTTGGCCTTTTGACTCTGGGACTTGCAACATCAGCCTGCTGGGGGCTCTCAGGCCTTCAGCCTCAGATTCAGGGCTGCCCTGTGGGTTCACCTGCTGGCTCCTTCCTGGTTTCGAGATTTCAGATTTGGACTGAGTCAAGTTACCAGCTTTTCTCATTCCCTATCTTGCAGAAGGTTTGTCATGCAACTTTGCCTTTGCAACTGTGTGAACCAATTCTCCCTAACAAATAATAAATTCCTATATAGATATATATGTCTCCTGCTGGTTCTGTCCCTTGGAGAATCCTAATACAAAGAGGGTAGGGAGGAAGACAGGGGGCCATGTAGAAAGGGGAGAGTCCATCTGACCACAGCTGGGGACCCTGGGTCAGAAGACACTCAGCGCTGCAGGTGGTCACTATCAGGGAGGTATATTGGTCAGATTATCTTGCTATTCAAAGGTGGTTCCAGGACCAGCAGCATCACCTGGGAGCTGATTAGAAATGCAGCATCTCAGGCCCTCCCAGTCCTCCTGATTCAGAATCTGACAGTTAACAACAGCCACGTGTGTTTCTTATGCACATTAAAGATTAAGAAGCAATGGGTCAGAAGGTAGCTGGTCCGCAGCCATAAATTCAGGGAAAGCATAGAACAGTGGTTCTTAACCTTGGCTGGACTTGTTATCCAGATCCTTGTCCAGATTACAGTGACAATTACAAAATCCGGCCCCCAGGGTTGCTTGTGAAGATCGGCAGTCCAGCACCCATGAATGCCCTTGTAAACTATAACATGCTCTAATAGTGGTACCTACTCATTGCTTTTCACGTCACATTTCCTCTGCTGCTTCAAAATCAAAGGAAGTGAAGCCTCATTTCTTCAGGTTTTCTCATTTAGTTTAACCCTATTTCACCCCAAAAAGTTCCCAGAAGGCACAGAGGAGAAAATCACCCCCTGGGTCTGCCTCGCTTCTGCTGAGTCCCTGCCTGCTGCAGTTTTTCTCATCCCCCCTCCACACCCCGTGGTACGTGACATACTGCAGGAAGAGGAGAAAACACCAACAGGTCTGATCTCCCAGGCGTACACATTTACAAAGCAGTCAGCACTTTTAACTAAGAGTCTCGTCCAGAATACACACAGACATTTATCATGTGGGCAGAGCCTAGCGCTGTGGTTGGATCTCAACGTGGAGTCTCTTCCTTCATGTCAGATCAGAATGGGCCAACTGCAAACTGAGACAGGAGGGTCTGCTGGAAAAAACAGAGACCTGGAGAAGACCTATGTTTAAGCCTTAATCCCAGTTCTGCCTCTAACTTACTTTATATGAGTAGATGAATTATTTAATCACTCTGTCTGCGTTCCCACCTCTCCTCCTGCTGTCAAACCTCAAATCTCTATTAACCATTGGAACTTTGTTAGAAAGTGATGAATCGTCCATCCAAAGGCATGTAATAAAGAATGTCTTCTATTTATAGATATTTGATCATATTTAAAGCACTTGATAAGATGATAAACAAAGAAAATATTGTCCCCATTTTATTAATTTAAAAACTGAGATTTGGGTTGATTTGTAAAATTACCCAAAGTCTTGACATTTTACATGAAAGGCAGTGTCAAAAACAAATCCGACCTCTGCCCCCTATGCCAGTGCCCTCCCTACATTGCTAACTTCAGCAGAATGCCATTGCATGCATCTATGAAAAACCTATTTCCATTTCCACCTGCATAGAAAAAAGTAATGGTGGCAGAAGGGCCATGTCCACTTTGATTGGTCCTGCTTTAGAACTGAAGGACAACTTTGGTTTCCAAATAATGTCACTGCTAGAAAGAAAGTTTAATGTGGATATCTTACTAAGGAGTCTTTCTGATTAGAGGGGAGTGGGAACAAGGCCAAGGAAAATGTAATGGGAGTCAGCTGGAGATGCAGGTATGCAGTCTTACAAATTACTCAACAATTCTTCACAAGAGCCCCCCAAAGACCCCACAGCACAACGAGAAGACGGGTGCTCCACTCCACCCAAGGAACACACAGCCAGGAAGTCCTGCTCCCCTTAAAATTGGATCTAGGAGGTTTGATTTCAAAAGCCATGAGTGGCAGGGACTTGCCAAGCTCACAATAAGCCCCTTTCTTTGACAACTGCCAGTAGTCATGCTTGTACCTTCTCATACACTCTGACACACAACCATATTGACTGGACTAGGGTGGTCACGTGACCCAAACCCATCCAATTCTCTCTCTCCCTGGGAGTCTGAAATTAAGACTTAGAGGCATCCAGTCCATCTGAAATGGGTACTTGGATAAACAAGAGGAAAACTCAGAAGCTACAAGGCATCCATTTTATACCCTGCATGTGAGGAGCAAAGTCATATGTGCACCTTGAACAGGACTTCATTTACAATTAATGTTTCTTTTACAGGGAAGCAGAGGAAGAGAATGAACAAGGACTATGGGCTCCTAAAAGCTTAAGAACTCCTGTTCCCACCTCTTAAGAGGCCCAGCTGTCCTGGGATACTGTAAGATATCCCAGCATCACAATGTACTCTTTCCCATCCCCCCAACTGGCTGTAGTTGGTGTCTATTATTAACCACCCAAAGGACCTTGAATGAGACACTAGGAAAAAGAAATTACCCACCATCTGAAGACTGCTTGGCATGGCTACATGCTACCAGAAAAGGCCTCACTCACCCTGCCTCCTCCAAAGGAGCAGACAGCAATGAGATTTAGAAAAGCATTGGAAGGCACGCTTGGAGCCCATGGACACTTCATGAAGTGGTTTAAGGCAAACAGAACATGACGAATAAGTAAACTAAACTCATTCCCAGACCTAATATTTTTAAGTAAAATAAAATCATGTCCACTTAGAGCTTAAAATGGCATTTGGCTAGAAGTTCCTGACAAAGTATCACCAAACTTCTCTCTAAATTACTTATTATACAGAAAAATGACAAAAACTCACAACAATAATGAAAATGAGGACTAACAACCTGTTACCAGAATCTAAAAGGAATTCCTGCTAACCAAATAAAGCTGCTAAAGCTGAGCTGCATTGAGACAAACAGTCCACACTTTGCCTTATAAAACAGAACGGCCCCATCATCCTGAAAGATGATAAACATTTTCTTTCTCTCCTGCTTTCTACACCCCATTCAGAGACCCAGGACCAAGCCAAATGAAAACCTGGCTCTCTACTATGGCTGCTACTCTTTGGAGGAGCCAGAAAACTATTCCCTCTCCATTGATCTATCTACGTCCATTCATAGAATGCAATTACTAGGAAACCACAGAGCAGGAAGGGGAAGAGGACTAGCAATGGAACATCATGTTTTGGAAGGCATATTTTCCACACAACATGCCTTATAGGAAGCACAAAGGTAGTTTGTGCTTCCTATAAGGAATTTTCACATCCCCCATCAGTTCTGGATGTTAGAGAATAAGCAGAAGAAGTAGGGAAAGATCCCATGACAGTTCAGCAGGGCTGCACAAGATGAATGTCTTTCAATTCTGGGGACTATTAGGAGGTGTGCACCACAACTGCCCTTCAACTACAACCTAGGAATAGGGGAGTGAGCAAAGCCAAGGACAACCCGCACAATCTACACTTCCTCTTTTAGCAAGCAAGCACTAAGGCTCCATGGAACTCTACTTGCTTAAAGGTAAATAACATGCCAGGCGGGAAGTGGGGATATAGGGGAGGAAACCTTTATGAGGCCTACGGAAAAACAACAGCACACTTACCTTAAGAGAATAGGGCAAACAGAGCATCACCCAGAAGACTAAGAAAAACAGCACACCTCTGAAGATAACTTACTATAGAAACCAGAAGAAAATGTTTTAAAATTGACATTTATAATATAAAAACATAATATGGCCCTATGAAATTGAAACTGAAAACCATACACACACACACACACACACACACACACACAAATACATATAGATCTAGAAAACAAGCTGAGTTAAACTGATAACAGGATAAGCTTCAAAGACTGGCATGTGAGATGACATTTTAGGTTCTTACAAAAATGTGATGGGGGCCGGCTCCCTTGTTCATGTTAGACCTAATTGTGATTCTTTTAAAATAAACAGTGAAATATTTTTTTAAATCAAATAAACAGTGAAGCAAGACTTTTAAGATATCAAGAGAAAGCAGTTAGCCAAAAGAGTGGAGTTTTAAAAAATATGTCATCCAAAACAATATTAAACAAAATTCAGATATTATCCACTCAGACTTCAGCCCCTTACTACTTGTAAGTGTTCTTCCCTCTGCAAATGTCTGAGCAAATCAGACTAGCACACATCCACTGGGGAAGAATAGTATTCTAAAGCTTCTTCTTTTTTTTTTTTTTTTTTTTTTTGCAGCAATGAAGGGACTGTTAGAATTCAGTAATGATTTTATTACCTCATTTGAGATTATTTCATTGTCCAAGTTATTCTCTTTTTTCCATAGCAACAGTAAATGAGTTAAGAAAGCAAAGTCCAGCAGTTCTCATACAAATATTGCAAGAATTTTGTTAATATTTTGGGTACGTGGTGATTTCATAATATGTATTATTAGAGTACTTTTAGCTGCTATACAAATATATCCAACATTTGCATCTTGGCTGAAGTATAGTAAAACCTTATCTGTCACAAAAGAGCTCAAGGCAAATGTTCCCAGTTGGCAAGAGCAGCTCTTCGTCCTGAGCACCCAGGCTAACAAAGGCTCTGCCACCTTCACCGTGAGGCCTCCAAGGTTGCCACTGTCCTCTCATGGCACTCAGCTGGAATGGGGGGAAAGAGAACAGAGGATAACTCATTAAAGGCTCTTATGAGTAAGTCCTATATGTCACACATATCACCTCCATCCACATTCTATTAACTAGAATACAGTCTCAGGGTAACTATTAGGGTCTTCAGGCTTATGAAAAAGAATTTGGCCAATGGTCTCCAAGAAAAAATATAAAGGAAGCTGGTTGTAATAAGAAAAAGATATTCCCAAGAAAATAAATTATTAAACAATAATTAAAAGCCATATATAGGAAGCAGTAAATGAGTGGAATGGACATGACAGAAAATTAAGTGTTATAGATTGCAAACTGGAAGAACACTTTCAGAATGCAGAGAAAGAGCACCAAGAATTAAAACTATCTTATTTATTTCCTTAATTCTAAGATGTCTGTGTTGCCACATCATCACTTTTGAAATCGGGCCAAGTCTTGCAATCACTGGCATCTCATAATCACCCTGAGCCAGGGAGCTGCCATGGTGAGGCCATCAGGGCCTGGGCATGGGTGAACTTGGTCTCAGCTGTTCATGTTGTTAGCACTTTAATTGAGTTGTATACATTGTTGCTATTACATGTGGGTTTAATTGCCATTTAAAATGTCTTTTAAAAGATTACACCATGGTTTGGCATTGAAACAAGAAGTTATTATGTATGCAGAAAGGCGTGGAATTCAAGCAGCAGGATGTAATTTGATATTACTGAAGTAAATGTCTATTATTGGACCAACCACTGCAATTCTTTTTATTTTTTTAGAAAAACTAAGTGCTTGACAGGACCCAAGAAAGGAAGGTATCCTTAAGTAGAAGTTGTGTTATGTTTTGTAACTGAGACGCATGCAAAAAGAATTGCCTGTCACATGCCAAACAATGCAACTGAAGGCAGGAGCAACTGCCAAGTCCCTCAAAATAGATGAAGTCTATCAAAATAAGAGAGAGAATGGTGTGAGCAACTTACCAATTTCACAGGACTGTAATCATGGCATTATGTCACAGTTTAATTGGCAGCATTTTTTCTTCCTTAGTTGAACATATAATAACAGTGCTTCTTAAAACCAATACTAGCTTAGATTCAATAAAATACAGTAATTTAAAAAGAAGACGATAGCTGTGGAAGACCAAGAATAGAGATTGAGCCTAAGAGTTATGTTTCTGAAGAAGAATCTAGAACAATCAAAAGAGAAACAATAATTGAAGATATAATTAAAGAAAACTTCCCAAAAAGGGACAGGAAGATGAGAAACTGAGAGGAATGGACTGGATTCACCAGGTTCCAGGTAAAAGTAACCAAGAGACACTCAAATCCAGAAATATTCTAACAAGTGTTTAAATGATAAGCAATTTTTAAGTGTTTTCTATGTATATTGAGACAAAGGAAGGAAGAAAGGAAGGAGGGAGGGAGGGAGGGAGGGAGGGAGGGAAGGAAAGGGGAAGAGAGGGTGGGAGGAAGGAAGCAAGGAAGGGAGGGAGGGAGGGAGGGAGGAAGAAGGGAAGGAGGCAAGGGAGTGAAGAAGAGAGGGAGGGAGAGAGGGAGGGTAAAAATTGTGCTGACCTTTGTCTCTGTTACAATGGAACAGTAGCTTACATAGTTTTGATAGGAAAACGTTTAGATGAAAATTTACTCACAAATAAGTTTTAGTTTTTGAGGACAGACAACCAAAAGAGCCCAGAGTGTCTGCCACTCACATATTCTTTAAATTCACTTTAAAATATATTTCCACTGCCCAAGTGATGACTTAAAATTACTCAAGAATGGGAAAAACTGAGTGTCAGAGGACTAGCAGTGAATGTTGAAGCCATTACACCCAGAGAGTTGGTCTAAAATAATTGTTTAACTATGGTTACAAGACAGAATATGTGTCAAAAATACCCTAGAACCAAGAGACATACAACATCAAAAAATAACGTATGAATAATCCAGATCCCAAGTCCCTAAACTAATAAATTTTCAAATAGGAAAGGAGAACAGAGGGAAATAAAAGTGTACAGAATTCATCCTACACAGTTGTGAGCTTAAAAATATCATTTTATTCTTGACTTTAACAACCAGAGAAATATTGATTGGTGCTCACATTCATTTTTAGAAACTTATTACGTAGGAGAGTAGGGGCCTGTCCTTTAAAAGATAAAACCTCACTCCTGCCTCAAGATATTTACAGTTTGAAGATCTCTAACCCACATACAGGATACGTTTTAATTTGTTACAAGAATAGGCAAATGTCAAATGCCTTGAAGAATTTAAAGTTTGGTGGAGAATCAGTCCTCAAATGCTGTTTCAACGTTAGTGCCCGCTAGACTTTTCCATTCCTTCTGGTAAAGCCTCCTAAAACCTGGCCTGCAAGGACAGCAGTTCCTGGTCACTTGGTGCCCTCTGTACCTGGTGGCAGCATCCCCTTGACATCAGTGCGCATTGTGACAATCCACAAACTGACTGCCCTTAACAGCATCACTGGTGTCACTGAGAACGAGACACACAAATTGGAATTGCAGGGAAGCTCTCAGGGCCACCATCGTTACACACACAGCATTGAGACCTGAAATCAGTACACAAATACCAGATACTTTCCTTCCGGTATTTAATTTAATGCTCACCATCACCATCCAAGTAGGCGGCATTTTTCCCATTTTACAGAAGAGAAAACTGAGGTTCGAAAGGCTGTTTTCCAGAATCACAGATCCAGTAACAGAAAGCAGAGAGGGCTCTCCCAGCCAGGAATTTATGGCTCAAAAGTTCAGTGTACCCTACCACAGTATTTTCTTAATTCAAAGAAAGAAGGTACGAGGAACGGAAATGGAGAGAGTAATTTTACGATTTATTACAGTACTAGTACAGATGCTGCCTCTTTTACAAAATAATAATCCAATGAACCGAACTAATCATACTGTGCTAGGGCCCCATTAACCCTCTCTAAAACATTCACGAAGTGGATACAGGGCTGCTCCAGGGGCAATGAGCTTTCTCTCTAAAGTAAAATTCCCAGGGAGTGCTCTGGTCTCCGGGGCTTGATTAGCAAGTACCAATTAAGGCGCCTTCAGTCCTCTTTTTGTCTTGAGTACTAAGGGCTAACCCTTCCCTTCCCGACAAAGAGGAGATTAAATCATTCACTCGCTCTAAAGAGTTCAAGTTCTAACGCAAGCCTCCCTCCCAGGGCCTTGAATAGATAGGACAAAAGAATGCATCTCTAATAGTGAAATTTTAGACGTCAGCAAAGGAGATATTTTTAAGTCACATGTAGACACACAAATTTTCCACATCACACCTTACTGAGACAGTGGTTCTTCATCTGGTGCCGAGGACCGTGGCTCACCTCGGTGTTACTCAACTTAACGTCTTGCCCCGCCACAAACCATGGGTACAGAGCAAACCAGGGCGTGCCAGGCCCAGGAGACTGGCCCAACACCGGCGCTCAGGCCTGCAACCCCTGGGAGGCGTGGGCTGCCACTGCCAGTACCCCGAGTCTGTCGCTGCGTCCCCGCGGCTCCCCCTTTCCGGGGTCCGCCCGGCCAGCCCAGGAGCCGGCAGGAGGGACCACGCCCTCCCGGAGCCGCCCGCGTCCCCGCCCCTCGGGACGCACCGCTGCTGCCAGAGGGCCGCTGCTGCCACCTCCCGGCCGCGTCTCCCCGAGCCGCGCTCAGCCGCCACGCCCCAGGAACCCGACTGGAGGACGGTCGGGACCAAGTCCACTGGGTCTGGGAGGTGGTGGCTCTCCCGGCAGGGTCTTCCCACGGGGAATCGTCTTCCCTTCGGGTCGCTCACGCAGCGCACCCAGATTGGAGTTGGAGATGAGCGCGCCCAGCACCGACCTCCCCCAAGGTTCCAACAGACACGTGCTCCACGCCCCTTCCCCCCCGGGGATCCGAAAAAGCCACACAGCCCGGCCCCAGGCACAACTTATAACAACCAGAACCCCCAAATCTAGGCAGGCCGGTTCCACCTGCGCCCTCCTGGCTGCCTGAAAGAATGCGCGTTACAGCAGAAATCTTTGAACTCAGATTCAAATGTCAGACCCACTGAATTCGAATCCCCAGGGCAGAGACACAGGAAACTATTTCTGCAAAGTTCCCCCAGGTGATCCTAATGGTCAGGCAGGTTGGGGACCCTCCCAGTTACAAAATCTAGATGACCTTTTTAGGTTACCCATACATGCACAGAAACACACACCCCTGGGTCTATGAAAAGGCAACAATATAAGCTTGCGAGCTTGAAATGAGAAAGACTTCATGACAGCTCATGACCTAGCCCCGGAGTTTCCAACCTTGTCTGTTTATCACGCCCTTGATGTCTCAATAATTTATTTCACAGTAACCCTAGGCATAAAGAAATACCTAACTGTTCCTTGTATTAAGTAGCTAGACCCAAAGTAGGAAGTATTTCTGTCCTAAACAACTTTGTAGCTACTAGAAAAAATAATACATACAAACTAGAAAAAAAATTACCTTATTCTTAGCCACAGCTTCTCACTAATGGGATGTGTGTGCTTGTTGGGCACTGCGCAACTTCTCAAACCTTGGAATGAGACTAGTCACAGCCGTCCTCATTTCCTATTCTATACTGATTTTCCCATGGTACTTGTTTTATGTCATAGCAAGTGACAAAAACTGAAAATGCAGCTTCATAAAAATATGGTTTTATCAAAAAACATGTAGGGCAGGCCAGGCGTGGTGGCTCATACCTGTAATCCCAGCACTTTGAGAGGCCAAGGCAGGTAGAACACCTGGAGTCAGGAATTCAAGACCAGCCTAGCCAGCATGGTGAAACCCCATCTCTACTAAAAATACAAAAATTACCTGGGATTGGTGGCAGTTGCCTGTAATCCCAGCTACTCGGGAGGCTGAGGCAGGAGAATCCCTTGAACCTGGGAGGCAGAGGTTGCAGTGAGCGAGATCACCCCACTGCACTCCAGCCTGGGTGAGACAGTGAGACACCAACTCAAGAAAAAAAAAAAAAAATAGAGCATCTAATGCTGAATCTTCGAGCTATCCTCCACTAGTTAGTAGTTTGCATGGAGCCCAAGAGAAGTTGAGTGTCGCCTTTTACCTTTAAAATATCCCACAGAGCCCCTCTGAAGTCACAACAGCACCAAGAACACCTCAGCACAGAGTTTGGGACCATGCATGGCCCTCACTCCTGCTGCTCTCCTCATCCCACACTCCCCAGGGTTCACAGGGCTCCTCCTGCAACCATCTTCTTTCTTGGCAAACACTTTCCCACCTCAGCACATTGTGTCCTTGCTCTTCTCTCTGCCTGGACTGCTCTTCCTCAGGTCTCCGCAGGTCCAGCCCCTTCTTGGCCTCCAGGTCTTGGTTCAAAGACCACTGTGCTCCCTAAAGCCTCCTCGGGCCTCCCACCAAATCACTTCCACTCTATGGGCCTGTTTCCTTTTCTTTGTAGCTTTCATCGCTATCTGAAGTTATCCTGTTCCGTTTACTTATATTCAAGCTTCCCCACCAGAATGTGAACGGGATGAGAACAGAAGCTTTTGTTCGTTACTGTTTCCCCAGAACCCAGAACAATGCCTAGCAATAAGTGGACAATAAATAATTGTTCAATGAATGACTACAGTCACTACAGTCAGCTCAAGAATGTGCTTTACATGCGCTATGCCCTTGGATCTTCACAACACCCTCTGGAAACAGATAAAAAACAGACATGGGGCCGGGCGCGGTGGCTCACGCCTGTAATCCCAGCACTTTGGGAGGCCGAGGCGGGTGGATCACGATGTCAAGAGATCGAGACCATCCTGGTCAACAGGGTGAAACCCCGTCTCTACTAAAAATACAAAATATCAGCTGGGCATGGTGGCGCGTGCCTGTAGTCCCAGCTACTCAGGAGGCTGAGGCAGGAGAATTGCCTGAACCCAGGAGGCAGAGGTTGCGGTGAGCCGAGATCGCGCCATTGCACTTCAGCCTGGGTAACAAGAGTGAAACTCCGTCTCAAAAAAAAATGAACAAATCATATTTAAAGAAGTGAAGTGTTCAAAACTGCACAGCCGAAGTGGCAGAGCTAAGATTCAAGTTCAGGTTTACTTGACTGCAAAGGCTGCTTTTCGTAAAATCACATTAACATCATGTTGGATACCTTCAATACACACAGTAACTTTTTTTTCTCAAGATGGAGTCTCGCTCTGTCACCCAGGCTGGAGTGTAGTGGTACAATCTCAACTCACTGCAACCTCCACTTCCTGGATTCAAGTGATTCTCCTGCCTCAGCCTCCCAAGTAGCTGGGACTACAGGCATGCACCACTACGCCTGGCTAATTTTTGCATTTTTAGTAGAGATGGGGTTTCACCATGTTAGCCAGGCTGGTCTTGAACTCCTGACCTCAGGTGATCCCCTGCCTCAGCCTCCCAAAGTGCTGGGATTATAGGCATGAGACACCAAATCCGGGCAACATTTTTTTTTCAACGTTAACCACATTGCCTCCCATTATCCCACTATCCCTAGAAAAGCTAATAACAATGGCGAAGTCAAGAAATGCCGGCTAGGGACAAATGGTGCCAAAGAGTCCCCAGAGAAGCTGGCCCACGTTGGCTTTCCCCACTCAAGGTCTCAGCCCCTGCCTCCAGTAGAAAATAGCAGAGGGGCCAGGCGCAGTGGCTCATACCTGTAATCCCAGCACTTTGGGAAGCCAAGGCGGGCAGATCACCTGAGGTCAGGAATTCAAAACCAGCCTGACCAACATGGAGAAACCCCATCTCTACTAAAAATACAAAATCAGCCCGGCATGGTGGCGCATGCCTGTAATCCCAGCTACTCAGGAGACTGAGGGAGGAAAATCACTTGAACCCAGGAGGCAGAGGTTGCAGTGAGCCAAGATCTTACCACTGTACTCCAGTCTGGACAACAAGAGTGAAACTCTGTCTCAAAAAAAAAAAAAAAGAAAGAAAATAGAAGAGGTGTCTATCTGGGAAGTCCTTGCTCTCCTTATTCCTCTGGCCATAGCTGTTACCAGGGAGACCTCTTGCAGACATATCTTCTGGCCTGGCCCATGTTACCCTATAAATCTAATGACACGTGTAACTCTCATGCTGATTACAACTGCCGAATTCCTGTTGATCATCCTGACAGGTAAGAGATGAACACACACGCAGCTGCAATCAAAGACATGAAGAGCACCCACCCCGTGCTCCGCGTGGCACTGGGTACTAAGGGAACCCACATTTTAGACAATCGCTGAGGGAAACAGGATTATCGGGCCACATGCAACTGCAGTTCCCAGGAAATGTCAGGAGGAACTATGAAGGGGCCACACAGGCCAGAGCTTGGGTGGCTGGACACTGAGTTTGAGACCCTCGTACAAAGAAAAGGGAGTTTAGAATTTGTTTTGTAAAGTCAAGAGACTTGTGCTTGTCAATGTCCCCTCTTCATATGGCTTGGTTTCCCCATGTTGCTCTTAAACAGGGTGGTTCAGGCAGGAAAAGAATTCAGCTCTTCCTTCCTCACCCCTATACTCACCTTGGCCTGGCCCAGCTAACTGTCGCCTATTCAAGACTCAATAGTGTTGGTGCCGCCTCCAGGAAGCCTGCCCTGGCCCCTGAGACCTCGCCTCTGTGCTCAGAATAACCCCCATGCATCACTGGATCCTGGTACTCACCCTGCTGCATGATAATTATCTAAGTGTGGGTCTGTCTCCCAGCCAGGCTGTGAGCTGGCCTGAGGCGGGAACTGTGACCTATTCACTGTCATGTCTCCAGCTTAGCACAGAGTAAGTGGAATAAATCTCTGGGCTAACAGCCCACATGTTCTGACAGGCAGTTGGGAAGATAGGATCATCATAGTTCTAGTCTCTGTGCTGCCGACATTCATAAGCTCCTGGAAGACCTCAGAAGTCATCCAGCCCCATGCACAGGTTCCTGCATCCTGAGGTCCCTGCACCAGGAAGGTGGTATGCGAGAACCACAAAGGCCAAGGGAACGACTTTCTAGGAAAGCCTTGGCCACAGGCTACCCTCATTTCTGAAGGTTCTGAGCCTGTGTCACTGACCATTTAGAACAAACTGTTCATGACTCAACTTCATTATCTTCTACCCTGAATAGGGGCCCCAGCATCCTCGGCTCGCCATCAGGTCATTGTTATCACTCCCTCGTGGGCTTGCCATGTCACCTCCACAAGCAGCAACAAAATCACTTGCCAGAAAAAATGTCAGAAAAGCAATCAACATGAGCCTGGGTAACAAGAAAGAAGCAACACATAAGAACAAAGGAGATGGCTCCTCCCCGCAAAGTCTGTGATTGCCTGTCCTGGAAGCCAGCTCCGGGAGACCTGGGGATTGGGCTGGAGCCATCAGCCTCTGCCCCTGGTGCTTTCTTTCAGAAGCACGAGCATCCCTTTAATCATGAGCAGGAAGCTTGACTGCTGTGGGAGCCCAAAGGGACCACCTGAAGCCAGTGATGAGAGAGGCTGCAGCTCAGGAGAAAGTCAGAGTCTCCTCACTGCCTGTGGAGAAACGCAGCTGCTCTGCAGCTGAACTTGGAGAGGTGAGAAAGAGAACAGACATTTAGGAAATGCAAGATAA